TTTAGCCTGCTACTCGCTCGGTACTTGTACTGACCCCTTCGGGGGGCCCCACCATTTCAGGTTGAAGCTCAAGCTTGCTATTCTCACCTTGCTCGGTGAAGTGATCTAAAGGGAGACGTGGTTCGTGCTTCCTTTACCGTTTTTAAACTATAAACTATGCTCATGGATAATTTGTAATAAGTACATTTGTTTTGGGCCTGCGAGTCCACGTTTTGGCCATATGTGGCCCATGATTGAATATTGAATAATTCCGCGATTCGTTCAATCCAAATATGTGATGTTGTTATGTATGTTTACTTACTGAGTATGGTATGAACAATGTTCATGGACGCCTTGTATGATTAAGTTACGTTGACTTGCGAGTGACGTCATTTAGTCATACGGCGGTTGTACACGCGCTCGGATGTGGTCCGGGGCGTGACATGGGTTCGGGAGTTTCTACCATGAGTAAGCGCAGGCAGATGAGAGATCCACCGTTTTTCCTCCATCTCCGGCAGTCCTGTTGCTCGAGCTTCACCATCGGGAGATGGTCCTTGCGCAGAAGGGATGGGGACAACAGGGATTTGATGCGGAAGAAGCAAGGATATTTTGGGTTTTTGATGAACTAATTTGCCATTATACATGCCATTGGAGTTTGCTGTATTTACAAAAAAACCTAAAAGCAGTTAGAAGCAACCAGATAGCAGCTTCCAGCTTTTAGATTAAAAGTGCTTTTTATAATTAGAAGTTGGGATTACCAAACACCTCTTTTAACTTTTTTTAATCTAAAAGCCAAAAAGCACTTAATTTAAGCATTGACAAACACACTCTTAAAACTATAACTAGTTTTTTCACCCGTGCATTGCACGGGATGAAATGTTATTTTATTTTGTTTGATAGTAATTTAATTATTTTCCATTAAATTTGAATTAAAATGATTTCGATTTTATTTAAGATAAAATATAACATTAAAAATTGGTACGTACCTTTTTTTACATCACATTTAATGTGGAATTTGTTGATCCAAAGTTTTCGTCACATATAAGAAAGTTTAAACCAGACATTACTTTAGACATATCGACATAAAGCAATCCATGAGTGAAAATAGTCGTTCTAAGAATATCACCACAATTTCCAACTAATGACCCCAATTTTCAATGAATGTCATTGCATAGAATCAGAGGGAATTATGTGTGTTGCACAGGATGATTCGACTAATAATATTTTAGATTTTTAGAAGTTAAATGCACATCTACACATCTATTAAAACTTGAATGTTTTAGTCCTAACAAATGTGCCAATCTAAAATATTTAAGAAATACATTTAATTATGACGGAAATAAACTTTATAAACGTAGAAATAATTTTAGACTTTTAAATCTCCATAAACATATTTTTTTATTCATTTAAATATTTGTGTTTTTAATAATTTATTTTTTTTAATTTTTTATTTATTTTTATCAGATCAGTTATGCACTTATGCTATATTCACATGTGCACATATTGTATTTGCTTATATGAGAGTGTCGAATAATGGTTAGTATGATATAGGTTTACTATGCTGGAGGTATGAGAAAAAACATTTAAGAAATAAAAAGTAAATTTTTACCTTTTATAGGTTTAAGTTGAAAGATACCTTAACACTTTTACCTTAGTTGTAAGTTTGTTTTGATAATTTCTTTTATACTCGCTCCGCCCCTTTTTAATGTTCTGTTTTACCATATTGGGTTGTCCCTATTTAATTGTCTCATATATTATTTGGTAAAATTTGTGTGATTCAAAATCATTCTTACTTTATTCTTACATTATCAATTAATATCAACCACACAAACCCACTTTTCTTAAAATTCATGCCACCCTCTTCCGTCCCAATATAAAAGGGACGGATGTAGTAGTTGTTAATTTATGGTTTCATAAAATTTTATAATTTATGATTCGATTGCCATTTCAAAATCAGCTTCACACCCACAATAATATTGATGCAAAAGAACTTCAATAAAAAAAGGAAATTTTTTAGAAACTCATAAGTATCAAATTAGCACAAGATTTTGATATGATGCGATCATATTAGGCTATTAGCACCTTATTTGAACATAGACAGAAGGTTTTTGGCAAGTTGTTGCAATACATAATCACAAAACATAACATTATGTACGGCCATATATATGATGCCCTTGGGCTGGTTTCAGTAAGCTCAGGTCATATATTACGCACAGTCCATCTATTCCAATTGTTAACATAGTCACGTACTGTTCTTCCATTTCTCATTATTTTCTTCAAATGAGCTTGACCAACTTCTAGCCTTCTAATTATTGTGATTTGTGACAATGGTATATTCTTGTCATTTTTGGTATTTGCATTATTACAGCTATGTCATTATTATTTAAGTCAGATGATTAAACATAAATTCAAAAATGAATATTAAAGGTGTCTAAGGGAGTGTTTGCAACCACATATGAAAAAGCACTTCTCAATTTTTGGCTTAAAAATACTTATTTACCAAATACTACCAATTTTTACTTTTTTTCGCCTTGCATGTGAAAAGTGTTTTTCCCTTTTCTATTACACAAAAAACACTTATTTTACCAAACACCCCAACTTTTACTTTTCAAAATCACTTTTTTGTCAAACACTATCAACTTTTACTACTAATCACTTTTTCCTTACATCTCCAAAAGTGCTTTTTTTAAACAGAAGCAGTTGCAAACACTCCCTAAGTGTCTTCAGTGGCGGACCCAGAAAAATGGAGTCACGGGGTCCCTAAACTAATGTAATTTTAATTAATACTACGTACTAAGTATAAAATTAATAAAAAACAAAATATTAAATATGTCTATCGGTCTGTTCTGGTATGCGTTAGGGCTAAGGTTATAAATGAATTGGGTCGAATTGAATATTGAATTATATTATTCGTATTTGTATAATTTGACGAATATTCGTATACGTATTCGTTTAGTATTCGAATCATAAATCACAATGTATTCGATCATTACACATATTCGAATATATTCGGTTTTCATTCGAATATTCAAAATCGAATGTTTTAAATGTCGATTTTTTCACCAATTCAAATTATGATGTATCCTACCTTATTTTTTCCAGACATATGTTTACTAAAATGAATATTGAAACTTAATAAACTAGAGAAGTAGAGAGAGGGTATGGTTTGATTAATATTACCTTTTTTAATTATTTAATTTAAATTATTATATACTATAACTATAATGTAATATATATAGTTCGTATACTTCGAATATAATCAAATAATATAGAAATTGAGTATATGTATATTCATATCGTATTCGAAAGTTATTTGAATTCCAAAACTAGTTCGTACTTGATTATTTCGAATCACAATTTCCAATTTGAAACTCGAATCGAATTAAAATTATTCGATTCATTTACCACCCTATTTAGGGCTTGGCATAAAGTTTAAAAAGCCCTAAACGATGTCATTTTGATATTTTAGAATAAAGATTTCAAAAAAAAAAAAACAGGGGTACTCCGAATAATATACACAATCAATATATGTGTATTGATATTAGAAAGTTATTTGAATACCAAAACTAATCTGTATTTGAATCCACAATTTCGAATCTCAATCGCGGAACGGATTAAGATTATTCATTTCGTTTATATCCCCCTAGTTAGGACTTGGTAGGGGTTAACAAAAAGACTCAAACGACATGGTTTTGGTCTTTGAAAATAAAGTGTTTGAAAAAATAAAAAAAATAAGGTCAGTGGAGTCAAACCCAGCACCTCACGCAAGAACTAAGCCACTATCCTCTCTTATACTCCCATTCTACTGAAACTGTCCTTTGGTTCTTTGGTCGCCTTTGTTATATATATACCTTTATTAATTAATTTTGTCAAAGATATATATGATATATATAGATAAAATTTTGGAAGTGCACGGGTCCCGGGACCCCGTGGGACCCTTAGTGGGTCCACCGTTGAGTGTCTTTGTCAGTTTGTCATAGTAAGAGAATGGTACACAAAATTTATATATTTTTTGTACAGATGTCTGTGTGCACAATAATTAGAGACAGTTACTGATTTTTTAAGAGATAAAGACAAGGCTCTCTTAAAACTATAATTTTTAAAGAATTAACATTTCTCCCTTAAAAATTTGTAACTTTCCTTTTTTAATTTGTGCTTATTTTTAGGATTTAATGCATCAAACCCCCTCGTGATATGGAAATTCGGCGCATTAGCCCTTTGTGATTTGAAAAATGCGTCAAACCCCCATGTGTTTTAATTAATCATGCACATAACCTCTTTTATGAATAAATTTAGTGATTTGAAAATCACTTTTCCTAATATTCTGATTGAGTATGAAAATAAATATGTCAAAATTTCTAAATCATGCAAAAATGTTAATCATTTGTCTTTTATTTGACAATTTAGTTTGTTCATAAAAAGGATTTTGCACATAATTAATTAAAACACAAGGAGTTTGACACATTTTTTAAATCATAGGGGGCTAGTGCGCCGAATTTCCATATCACGGGGGGTTTGGTGCATTAAACTCGTTGAATATGTAAGTAACTTTGTCAAAATTTCAAAATTATACAAAAAAATTCATTTTTCATTTTTTTGGAAATTAAATTTGTTCTTAGAGGGGGTTTGACACATGATTAATTATAATACAAGGGAGTTTGACGCATTTTTTAAATCACAAATGATTAATGCGCCGAATTTATATTTCACGAGAAGGTTTCATGCATTAAATCCTTACTTTTAGTGCAAAAAAATGCTTATTTTTCTCTTAACTGAAAGTATAAGATCCATTTTTTAATTTTCTTTAGAGAGAATTCCCTAAATAAGAGTAAAAACGTTTTGAAATTCCAAAATAGGAGTATCATATTTTTTATTCCTTGAATAGGAGTAATCTGCCAAGTTTGGAAGAAAATGCCATGTTTAAAAGCCTTGTAATGCCAAACTTGGCAGAAATTTACTCCTATTCAAGGAATAAAAAACATGATACTCCTATTTTGGAATTTCAAAACGTTTTTACTCCTATTTAGATCAATTTCTGTTTTCTTTGTGCAATGTGACTATGTGAGCGAGTGGTAACAGGGGTAGTACTAACTTGTGGCTACCAGAGTTGAGCCTTGTAGGATAGTCTCTCAAGATATCATGGCAAAAGTTCCCTCCATCGTTTCCACCGCCGTAAACTTCCAATCCGGCAAAAGCTCTGCCGTTTTCCGGAGAGGTTGTCATTTTTGCCCAAAAGTATACATAATTCGATGTAATAATGCCAAGAACCAAAGAAACATCTCATCCCCTGGAACTGAAAATATGGTACTGAAGGTGGCTTGGTATGGTTCTGAGCTTCTGGGCATTGTTGCTTCCCTTCTTCGATCTTCTCCGGCAAGTAGCGAAACTAAAGCTCCAGAAGGAAAAACAGAGCTCGCCTCTGATGGGTCCGGAGTGGTTGACCGATCCCTGGTCGTTGATGCCATCAAAGAGGACTTCCTGAGATCCTACTTCGTCACAGGTTCTGCTCTCAACTCCAAATATAGATATAGAGGTAGAGAGATTAGTATTCAGGCCAGCATGAATTTTGTAAATTGGGTCACTTCAACCATTCATTTATTTTGTTTATTTTTAGGATTTAGGACTAACTTTTAATTTCAATTGTCTGATCTTCTGTTCGTTCAATAGGGTTTAAGAATCACTATCTCTTATTTAGAGTTTATCTAATGTTTGAGATTAATTGATCACTAGATATTGATTTGTCCTCAGAAATCTAATGTTTTATACGAAGTACTATGTATGTGCCATTTTACATATTGCATTGCATTGTAAAAACTGAATTTGAATGTGATTGAAGTTCAGTACAAAAAATAAGTGAATAAAAGTGTATTATGTTGTTCACATTAATATTAAAATGAAAGACCGGATACCGGGAGTATATATATGAAAAATTAAATTTTCCCATGTTTAAATATTCAGTCTCATGGATTCTTTTATGACCAGAAAATTGAAGCATGCCTCTCTCTGTATTACTGCAGTGAGTGTGCATTTAAAGATTTTGTATACCCAAAGCACTTATTCAGTTACCATACATGGGAAACACCTAATTTAAGGAAAAAACTGTTTTCCATATAGAGATACTTTATTGTCATACTCCTGACTTGCATACAGAGGTACTTTGTGTACATCACTGAAGCCAGATTTGCAATTAATTATACTAATTGCGACTAATAAGAACATTCATGATGTTCAGGGAACCTGACCATGGGTGTATATGAATAGGAGTGTGAATTTGCAGATCCAGCTGGGTCCTTTAAGGGACTGCGCAGGTTCAAGAGGAACTGCACCAATTTCGGGTACCTTGTCCGCAAGTCAAACATGAAACTTGTCAAGTGGGAGGATTTTGGGGTTAGTTATATTTCATTGCCATTCTATAACTTGCATTAAAAGGTGAAATCTTCCACCCACAACTCAAACCCACTGAGTAAATGGGGATTAAATCATGGCGACACATTTCACCCCACAGACTAAGTCACTAGTTGCTAGGTGCAAGAACCCTCTTCACTTTAAAGGTACCCTCGATACTGGCTTTGGCAGAGTCAATGTTGGACTCATGTACCACATTTTCAACTTTAGAACTAGATGAGCTACCCATGCGAGAGGACTTCTTTTCTAAAATCTTAAGTGCCCGTTTGAAACTTCAGCAAATGCAAGAGTTGAGAGAAAGAAATTAAATAGAAATGTAGGAAAGTTTTAGAATTTAAGAAAGAGTGCATGTGGCGGTGCATGGTCAAAAATAAAATGTCAGCTTAAACTCTATATTTTCTGTTTATATTTGAAAAGGTTCATTCACTTCGTTGAAATAAATAGCCTCAACCCGAAAGCCAACATAATGCTTTTGGGGTGATCGGAAAGGGCTAGATTACACAAACAATTTCGATGAAGATATGGAAGATAAGACTTGAACACTATTTATTAGGCTCAAGAGTAGTATACCGGCAATTACAACACTAAAGTTTAGTCCTACGATAGTACACACCAATCCCTTCAATGGAGCTATGACAGGGTATTTATAATAGGAGATGGCAGCCGAGGGGTTGACATGGCTGTCCCTCATTGGATCAGCCATCCTCTCTCACTATCTTTCCAAATCCATGCATTATATGCTTTTACCATCATATCTAGATTCCTTCCAAAATGGAGTGTTGCCCAAATCATAGGCTCATCCTGCTGATATAATGGGCACAGACCACGGTACTGGATGGACTCGTTGGGTTCAGCCATTTCTGGCACTTGTGGAGAGTGATGTAACTGTTCGTGTTCTGGCATGGTGCAGAGCGGTATGAGCCATCTTGAGCAGTATGGACTGTCTCGAGCAGGTCACAAGATGTTTGCTCGGGTTCAGTATAGCTTCACTTAAATCCACTCAGTTTAGAGAGCGCTCTGTCGTCCAGGATGGCCCTTCTTGTGGCATATCTGGGCCTCCAACATGTACAGGCTTTCAAGTCCAGTATATTATCTTGGCCGGCACGGGCTCTTGGTGGATAAAGGGCTCGTTGCTATGGTGCTGGGCCAATATCATAACACAATGGTTATAATCTAAACGCTTATTCAATTTTCTTCTGCATTTTCATGGGAAAGGCCATATGAGAAGAGAAGTGATTTCCTTGACATTGTCTTTTGCCTATCATTTTCCGAGTTCCAATATAGCCCTTAAGGTTTTGTTGATGTGCACAGGAAAAGGCTATTGGACATTGGCGTTTCAGTTGTGTTTTGGCGTTCCCATGGAAACCCATACTTTCAGGTTTTTGTCTTTTTGATAATTTCTTCATTTATTATGGTTTTTGACTGAGTAAAAAACCCAGCATTTACTTACATGGTGGTGAGTTGGATATTGCAGCTACTGGTTATACCGAGTATTACTTCAACAAGGAATCTGGAAAAGTATGCAGGCATGTAGAGCACTGGAATGTGTCGAAGACGGCGTTGTTTAAGCAGATTCTAAGCCTCAAATCCTAATCCTCCGAATTAAAGTGTTAGGAATTATACAGTATAGGAAGGAATTGTATGTATATACTCCATGTAAATAAATGCTCGTTTCTTTAGGAAGGAATTGTGTGTATATATTGTTTAGAATAGCCCTGGATTAGCCAATACCAGTCTAATGGCATCATGTTGCCCTCCTAAAGCGAAGCTCACAGATTCTAATATCATTCCAATTAAGAAAATTGATACTCTGTCCCATTTAAAGGTTCCCGTCTCTATTCTCGGTCAACGTGCATTGTTCTTAATCTCTTACTTTATATATTCAACTTTTATCAAATTTAATTTCTTTTTTATCAGGTATTATAGAACTTTTAAAGTAGTTTATGTATATGTAAATTTTACTTATTAAAAATAATTCTACTAATGACAAGGATGAATTAACTTTATGCTTAGTCAAACATCCTAAACCGTGTGGGAATCTTTAAATGGGACGGAGGAAGTATTATCTTTCAATAGTCAGCACATCCCAAAATTTTCTTTATTTCATCAATATTTTTATGTTTTGAAGTATTTGGGAGTGGGTAGTACCTGAAATATTTGTTTTTTTTGTATCATTGTAAAAAGATGAAGCAATATCTAAACACTCTTCTAATTTTGTTCACTAGAGATGTTTATAATTGACTTGAAATTTTATAGAGGGCTATTTATATTTGAGAAAGCACTAATCTCACCAAGTGGTGATTGCATTGGCACAGAACATGTCACAGCTATATACTAGAGAATGCAGCTCTGCAGTAAGCAAACATTTATCCTCATCTAGTAGTAGTTGGTCCAGTGAAGATTCCAAAGACAAACATCCTATTATTCAAAACCAAACTGATCTGGATCATTAACTTCATCAGAAAAGGACAATCAGAAATTTTGATTTAAACAAACTTAATGTTTAAATATGTTAGGAAAACCATCTGTTTCTTATTATGGAGTTTAAAAAGCTTAAAACAACATAATTTTAGCTTAAAAAGATTGTTAAAAACCAAGCAGGCATCATTACAAACCCTGTGACAAAGAGCAGAAATCCAAGCATAGGTTTAACTACAGAAAACTGCACTTTTCAATACTTATAATCTTAGTGTTTCCAAATCATAGCCCAAAAAGAAATAAAAGATTGCATTTTACCTGAGAACCACATGTTGGAGTAATAAATGTTCATTATTATGTTTTTAAGTGTGTGAATTTGGATGCTAAAGCTACTGATTTTCAACTAAAACAAATTGTACAAATATATAACTTTACTCCTTGAACTTAGCTTAAATGGATTTTATACCTTATACGTAGTATAAATTAGACCACCAAACAACATAAAGAGACTCTATACCATTGTCACTGCATAAAAAAAAACAAATTGTATAACATACCTCTGAAGTCAAATGACATGCATATCTACATGAAACGACACTTAAAAATTTAGCTATGGTACTACACTGATTCAAACCACTAATCATATTGGTCCTTGAGACTATTTTACTATAGATTCTATATATGAAAAGAATATGTAGTGCTTTTAAGTTCCAATACTCCTCAAGGTCGAGTGCAAGCATCACTTCATTTTCTAATAAAAAAAGAGTCTCAAGTGTTAATTCCTAACAAAATACTTAAATGGGGAATCCTAGTAAGCAGTGTGGTTTATTTAAATTTAAAATCTTTTACTGGATTAGAATGAATAATTAAGAAATAGATCCGACACATACTTAACATATAAAAATTGAAATGCACTTCCCAGCTCAATGATGGTCATTCAATGTGATCTTTTAAAAAAATTCAGTGCGTAATAATTTTTCATAAGTAGAGTATTTTTCAGAATCAAAAGTAATTAAGTACTCCATACCAAATGCATAGGAAAAGTGTGATTGACCTCGTAAGAAAACTCAATGTTAGATCTCAATGACATCAATTGTCAAGTATTAATCAGAAATTGAGAAAAAGAAAAGTATATTGAAATCAAGAATAATGAAAATGTAAGGGACAATCAGAAATTGGAAACGGAAAGATGGTGTAAATATCTGCCATTTACTTAAAGAGTTTGTCTTAGCCGATTTCATTGCTGCTTCCATCACCTCCGGCTTGTTGTTTGTCCATGGTGTATTCAACAGTAGAGCAAACTATTTTTTCGAATCTATTTGTGTCCGAGAAGGCAAACATGAGTTTTGTTTGGGCGGAACATAAAAAAGTTTTTTGAATTGCGAATCTAGAATTCAGGGATTCAAGAGCAGTAGGAAGGGTTGCGATTGGGAATGAGTAATCTGATCAAATAATATGAATCTAACCTCAGATTTGACGATTGAAGCCAGATGAATTAGGAGAAAGGTATGGAGATATCAGGTATTGGAGATGAATTCGGAGAAAGGTATGTCGATTGTTCATCGATGATGTGGAACGAATCAGAGAGAGAAGTATACTTCCACGTGAGAAATCCATGTGAAGCGTCCAGTGAAAGAGGTGGAACAGAATATTTGAAACCGTAGATCTAAATGACTAAGATCGTGCGGCTAGAATGGTTAGGCGGGAGAATGATATTGCAAAAGTAGCGCAATTATGTAGGATGATTATTCTCAAATTCCAATCACAACATTTAGAGCCTGTTTACTAACAGAGATATTTTCCAGTTTTCTAGAAAACTGGAAAACTGGAAAACAGAAAACAGGAAACGTGATTACCAAAGAAATTGCTGGAAAACTGGAGAACAGAAAACAGAAAAACGTGTTTACCAAATCGTTTTCCAAAACGAAAAAAACGAGACATGTCTCTCTTTTCGTTAATGATTTGAAGAAGTGACTTTTACTAGTTTTTGAAATTTGGAAAACGCAGATGCTACAGTGCCGCTGCAATGAATTTGCATTCTTACACCTAGTGGTGGGTCTGGTCCCGCTCTGATGTCGATTCCATTATGGTACCTCCATCCTCATACCTTACCCCTTACCCCTGCCCTACCCTACCCACCCCTACCCTACCCCCACCCCGCGTACCCATTTTTCCCTATAATGACCCTACCCCACCCCTACCACATGCCCCTACCTCGGCCCCACCCGATCCACCCTACCGCCACCCCTACCACCTCGACCCCACCCCGACCCACCCTACCCCCCACCCCTCGTATATTACCCCTTACCCGTTACCACATGCCCCCTACCTCGGACCCACCCCACCGCCATCCTACCCCCACCCTTCCGCCACCCTACCCCCCACCACCATCCTACCCCCCACCCTACCCTTCCCCTATCTCGGTCCCACTCGGATCCCGGGCCCACCCTACCGCCATCCTATCCCAATTCCCTACCTTACCCCTACCTTACCCCAACCCCAACCCTACCCACTTCCCCCACCCTTACCGCCATCCTAGCCCCCACCCTACCCCTTCCCTACCTCGGCCCCTGGTCCCGGCCCCACCCTACCGCCATCCTACCCCAACTCCCTACCCTACCCCTACCTTACCCCTAACCACGACCCTAACCCACCCACTACCCCCCACCCAACCCCCTACCCCTAGACCTTACCACCCCACCGCGACCATACCCCTTACCCCATCCCCACCCATAACTTCCCTACCCCGACCCCTACGAATAGGTATGGGTGGGTATGAAGGGTTGTGGGGGAGTATGGGTACAGTGTAAGATCGTGGTAAGGGTAGAGGTAGGGGTCAATGGTGTGGAATTGGAGAACTGGGTGAAAAAAATTGATGAACATGTTTTCAGATTTGAAAATGAAAAACTAAAAAATAGAAACAGAAAATTGGAGATAGAAAAACTGAAAAATAAAAACAGAAAATAAGAGAACGAAAAACAGAAGTAGAAAACAAGAAAATATCTCTGTTAGTAAAAAAGCCCTTATTTTTTCAATCATTTTATGAACAATTGTTTGAAATCATTTTTTCAATCATTCTATAATTCTTTCTCTACTGAGTACTCCGTAACCCAGTAGTTTTTGAAAATAAAAACATGTGAAGGAGTGTGAATAATACTTTGTCGGGTATATAAGCACATTGAAGATGAAGGATCATCAAGCAAGAATTTGGTCGGTGAGGAACCTGCGATAGCATCGAACCTCCTGATCTCTCCTGCAGGGGGGCCGGGAATCAGGATGTTGTGCCGGTCGGTCATACGCGGAAGTTATATTTATTCAGCTATAAAACGTGCCCCAAAAACCTCCTCTCTTTCTCACCCATCAATCGATCATTACTAGCTAGCTACCACTTCAATCAATTTTTGCACGTGATCGATGGCAAGAATGAATACTAATGTTGAAGGAGCAAGTTCCGGGCGGCGCATTCCCGTCGGTTTCGTGAGCACCGACGACGAGGAGGACTTTACTTCGGCGGCGGAAGGCGGCAATGGGGATGAGTGGTCCGCGATCAGGTATTGGTTTGGGAGGATGAGGGCTCCGAAGCCGGCCGCCGCCGTCATCGGCCCTTCTTATTCTTCTCCCTCATCAGAGATGAGCGTCCAATACAAATCAACAGCTGCTGATGATGAGTCTGAGGCGAACTCTTTACTTGCCACGTTGAGAGCTTCGTCTCCTACTCGCACAACAGCCGAAACCGTTTCATCCGAGCAACGGGCCAGCTGGATGGTACATACGCGCTTAATGGTTAAAAGTATTTATTTCACACCGAAAAATTATAAAACAATAAATACTATATGTAGTACAATCCTCTACTTTTTATCTCAACATATTAAATTTTACAAAAAAGAGATTAAGATATAATTACGATCAAAGACGTGCGTTGACAAATGTGAAATTTTGACCGTTACAACAAAAAAAATAATGGAGAAGTATCAAGTACTATCCTCCGTCTCTTTTTAATTGCAACATGTTGACTTTTTGCACTGTTCACATGATCTACTTTGACTACATTTTACACTATTATTTTATGGAAATTATTTAAAAAAAAAAAAATATTTTTCAATTCATTTCATTACAAATTTTCAAAATCTGATTTTTAATATTTTTTTATTAATAGAGATTAAGATATACTTGCGGTCAAATGTGTGCGTTGGCAAATGTGCAAATGTTGACTGTTACAACTAAAAAAGAACGGAGGAAGTATATATTATCGGATTTAGCTTTTAGCTAGACTATTTCTACTACTCTTGCATGCATGCTTACTTATACTATATATAACGTGCGGCGGACAGAAACGCCACCCATCAGCTCTGGACAAGTTTGACCGGATCATAGAAGCTTCCAAGGGTAAGCAAATCGTGATGTTTCTTGACTATGACGGAACCCTTTCACCCATTGTCCCCGACCCCAATTCCGCTCACATGTCACCCACGGTTAGTACATTCTTTGTATACTACTCCGTACAAAATTGATTTACTAAATTGTTTTTTGTCAAACAGTTTTACTTTATTCACTTAACTCGTATGCCAATTTTTATTTATATTTTAATTTGAATAGATTTTAATATAGTTTCTGAATATGTAAATTTTAATTATTAAACATCGAATTAATTATCAATAGAGAAGATTTAACTTTAACATTGGTTGACAAAAAATGTTTACTTTGCAAATTAATTTGGGACGGATGGAGTACAACAAGTACTTTATTTATTTCTAACATTTTATTTCCCTTTTCTGAAAACTTTATTAATTTACAGATCACATTATGTACGTACGTACATTTATTTTTCTTGCATTAATTACTACGGGTATATTTTATGTGTGGATGATGAATATTGATTATGCAGCTTATATTCTTTTTTTTTTTAACCTGAATGAGTCAGATGAGAGCAACGGTGAAAAGTCTTGCCTCATATTTCCCTACAGCCATAGTAACTGGACGGAGTATAGACAAGGTATGTAATTAATTACTTCGTATTAAGTACCATATCTACTCCATACATATACATGATGGCGTTGATTAGGTTGTTAGTGGAAAAATTAAAACTAATTAGTACTTATTTATCACCTGGTTTAAAAAACTTTAAACAGATTTTTTCTTTGTGGATGTTTATTGCATGCGCGCAGGTGTATGACTTTGTTCAGTTGCCAGAATTGTACTATGCAGGAAGTCATGGTATGGACATTATAGGGCCATCCAGAGGCCCCCATTTCATGAAAGTGAGTAACAAGCATTTTCTCTCCACCAATTTCTTGCACGACTACCCCTCTATTTTAAAAAAGATACAAAATGACTAAGCTACCGGGAAAATGAATTCCTTACCTAGATACCCTTAGGAGAAAATAACTAGATATTCACTATTTGAAAGGAAGACATTAGAGGAATTAGAGTGAGTAATAAAAACACCCGGATTATTATACATGTAGGTATCATCACAATAGGAATAAGTCTCACGGGTCATAAATTAGGAAATACATGTTCTTTAATTGTAAGGGAGGCATTATTGAAAGGAATGCATTATTAGTGAAATTAAAGTGAGTCATAAAAATACGTGGATGACCATGTTCTTTTAGTCATAACTGGTAATTTGCTCTAATTTTAGTGAGTTGTTGTTCCATATTCTTCGGTGGCTCTATATATAATGAAGTTTTTTTTACTAATTTTATGTTGTAACTAAAAATATATACGTAGTACTAGCTTAGTACCTCCTATACTTTATGTTTGAACTAGCTCTTGACACACATTACTTTGATAATCAAGTCTTTGTATTAGTGCATACTAGTATTATAAAAAAAAAGCCATTAAATTGATTTGAATATAAATTTTAAAAGTATTAACTCTTTAGACATGCACATTTAAACATGACAATGGTCAAAATTTTGTACTGCCAAAATTAGTCAAAAAAAACTATACAAAAATTTAATACTCCGTACATAGAACCGGCACACGGGTGCTTAGTTTTTGTTAAGGCATCCCACAGTAATGGCTATGAATAAAAATATAAAAATAACATCCTACAGGCATAAAACTTTATCTACTCGTCCTATAGGGTGGATATACATTTAAAAGAACTCAAGAATTGATAAGTTTATAAAATAGTATGAATGATTTACTATACATATTTATATTATTTAATTATTACTCTGTATTATGTACCAGGGCCAGTGGGCCCATATATTGATATACAGAGTACATAATAGATAAAGGGGTTGTGAGCTAATATATTTATATGAAACTTATGAGTTTTATACTTTCATTCTAGTGTTTTTATCATAGAACATTCTCCTATCAAATACTTTTTGTATATAATAATTGTATTAGCATTCAAACTTTATCATTAATTAAAAAATTCAAAAATGTCTAAGAGACGGTGTGAGTAATAAAAGCATAGATATTTTAGTCCATGATATATGTAATTATTTCATGTATATGCGTGTGTGGCAAAATGTTCATCTAAGATAGGCATAAAAGTTACTATCCCGTCCCGTTAGAAGGTTCCTATAGTAAAATGACACGATTATATTTAGGTGATTATTGAATAAAGTACTTCGAGTATATTTTGAGAAATAATTTTAATAGGTATATATTACTACGTATAATGTAGTTAGCTAGTATCGATAACGGTGATGTTATAAATGTATTATTTTTAATATTTAATGATTAATTTGTCACTTAAGATTTTTAATTGTTTCTTAAAATAGAAATAAGAACCTTCTAATGGGACGTCCAAAAAAGGAAAGTGGAAACCTTCTAACAGGACGGAAGAAGTATAATTTTAGGCCTCTTTTATTTACAATGCTTCCAGTCAAATTTTTTGATGAAAATTTGTGAGCATATTTTCCATGAACTGTAGATTATGTCTACAAAATTTTAATTTAAAATTTAATCGGGGGTCGGCTAAATAAATTCTGAAAATTGTACAGTTTTTTAATACATTTTAATGATTTTTTTTAATTATTATTTTAACTTCTGAAATTTGGTTGATGTAATGTACATTTTTGCAGTGGATAACAAACATGTTCACAAAATGTTATAAAAAAATCTATATTTGCAGCGTGGTGTTACAAATATTCAACACCAACCCGCGGCGAACTTTATTCCCATAATACAACGGATTTACGCGACATTGCGGGAGAAAACAAGTCACATTCCTGGTGCTTATGTGGAGGATAACAAATTTTGTGTCACCGTCCATTTTAGACGTGTGGAAGATAAGGTAAGCTATACATTTACATAATTACATATGTGTAATTAATAATAAGCTCCTAAAAAAACACAAAATGCGTAATTAAAATTACCACTATTTTATACTCAGTGCTATTTTAGAACTTTGTATTTTGTCCGTCCGTAGTGACCAATTTTTGTGTCATTTTACATTGGGAATTAAGCTTATTTTTGTAAGGAAGCTTAATTTATCCTTTCAGTGAGATTAAATGAGTGTAATGTTGGAAACAATTATATTTAATACTCGGTACATATCACAAATTTTAATAGTTTCATGTATGCGTGGGGGTGGGACAGATGCAGAATTGGGAGGAGTTGGTCCAAATAGTGAGAGGGGTGATGAAAGGATATTCGGGCCTTCGAATAAGCAGCGGTAGGAAAGTGATGGAGATTCGGCCCGCCATTGATTGGGACAAAGGCCAAGCTCTCACCTTCTTGCTTAAATCCCTAGGTCTGTTCCCAGGCCAGGCAATCCGAGCTGATGCTTTTGATTCAATTACACTTCTTCCGTTCTTAAATAAGTGCAACATTCAACTTTTCACGTTTGTCAACGTATAATTTTGATCATTTGTATATTTAACTCTCGATTATTAAAAAAAATCATATTTCAAAAATTTACAATGAGAAAATTTTAACAATATTTTTTTAAAAATTTATTAATGCATTAATAAAAAGAACTTAGTCAAAATAGAACATACGAACAACGTAAAATTTAACATGTTGCACTTATTTAAAATATGTCGTAAATTAATTGCCTTGCCTACTTATTGCGTGTTACTAGCTAGCTAATTATGCAAGCATGCATGCAGGTTACGCTTACTCTAATCGTGTATGTCCCATCTATATTGGGGATGATAGAACGGACGAAGATGCTTTTAGGGTGAGTGCGTACTACCAATTCAACTCCACTTTTCCGCCCCTCCCCTACCATATATTCTCATGAATAATTTGAAGGTCCGATTCCAAATATAGTACAAAATTAAGACATCATACATGAGTAAAAATAAAATAACATATAACAATAACTCACATAGTTCAATAAAATTAATTGTGTTTAGGTGTTCACTTAGAAAAAAACATGATTTAAAATAACTACATATAAATATTATTACCTCCGTCCTATTTTATGTGTCTTAGTTTGACTTTGCACGATTTTTATTGAAGTGATTGAAAAAATAAAAGTTGTGATTGAGATTTGAGTATGATAAAGTTAAATGGTGTATGCCACATATATATTTCTTTCCAAATAAGAAAAGAATATACTTATTTTGGTACAACCCAAAAGAAAAATAGGACAGATAAACTGAGACAGATGGGGTATATAATACAACTATATTGTAATACTAATATAAAAAAATGGAGCCCCAAATTTTGGTGGTTCTGTTCCAGATGACCTATATTCAACTTGCTAAAAATGCCCCGATTAATAACTAAGAATAGTTCCTATATTCTTTTATCTATCATACAGTACTGTCCACCCTTATTTAGTAGGGGTGGGAAAAATGATTTGGTTTAACCGAACCGAACCAAACCAAACCGTTTGGTAACAATTTTCTCAAACCGAATGGTTTGGTTTGGTTTGGTTTAAAACCGTAAACCGAACACCGAACAACTTATATATATATATATATATATATATATATATATATATATTTGTTTATTTATGTATTTATATACATTAATATAAAAACTTTGTATTTATTTAAACCATTGTTCTAAAACTCGCTAGGCACTAGTCGGGCGGTTGAGGGGCGCCTAGCGCCTAGGCGGCCGACTAGGCCGATTTTTAGGCCGACTAGGGCGATTTTTTGGCCGACAAGGCCGATTCGGCCTCTACGGTTAGGGCCGACTAGGCCGCCTAGGACGATTAATCGGTCCGCCTAGGCCGATTTTTAGAACAATGATTTAAACCAAGCATTCCAGCCTAGCTGGTTGTGAGGTTGTTGTGCCTAGTGAGAGGTTTAGAGTTCGAATCCCGCTAGACACACAAATGTTGGAAACTCAATGGAGTGAGTTTCAGCCTGATTACTCCAGGCTCGCCCCCAGCCTCCCTCCCCCAGACCCCCTGGAGTAAAAAAATACTTTGTAGTTATTTTCACTCTTCATTTTTAAGATATAAATAAATAATTTAAACATAAAAAATACACATTTAGCATATATACTACCTCCGTCCCACTAAGATTGAGACAGGAGAAGGTGGCACGATGATTCAGAAAGGTGGATTTGTGTGGTTCATATTAAATTGATAAAGTAAGAATAAAGTAAGAATGATTTAGAGTCACACAAACTTTACCAAATTTAGTATGATAGTATATGACAATCTTAGTGGGATTTTCCGAAAAGGTAAAATGGGACGATCTTAATGGGATGAAGGGAGTATCATTTTAACTTTTACACATTTCATACATATTCATTTGAATAAAATTGTGAATATTACAACATTTGTACCACCGACTCGTTTAGTTTTAATTTTTTTGAATATTTTATGTGATATTGTAAATTCTAATCAACTAGAATCTTTTCTTTGTGAGAAGTGAATCTTTTTCTAGTGATGGAAAATACTTCGTATGTTAGAAGTTTTAATTTATAATATTTTATATTTCTTTTTTTGTCTTTTATTTCCCTGTACATTTTATTTAAATAATCAATGAAAGAAGTTGAGATAAACTAGTGCTTTCATTTTCTAATTCTAAAATATAGAACTTGATCAAATAAAATAATTAATATAAGAAAACGAATCAAATCGAACTAAATTAAACCTAATACTTTTTACTAGTAAAAAGTATTTCCTTTGATAAACCGAACTGAACCGAAACCAAACCGATACACAAATGGTTTTAGTTTGATACAAATTCTCAGCGCTATTATTTAGTACCGTCCACCCTTATTTGGTAAAAATAAATACTGCGAAGTACTAGTATCTTCCAATTTACATACTACTCTCACATAACCATTATCACACGCCTCAAAAATAATATACTAGATCTACAATAATCTTATCAGATCATATGTAAAACGAATATTTCAGCGAATCAATAAAATAATAACTCATCTTATTTATTTATTTATTTATTTATTTATTTATTTATTTATTTATTTATTTATTTATTTATTTATTTATTTATTTATTTATTTATTTATTTATTTATTTATTTATTTATTTATTTATTTATTTATTTATTTATTTATTTATTTATTTATTTATTTATTTATTTATTTATTTATTTATTTATTTATTTATTTATTTATTTATTTATTTATTTATTTATTTATTTATTTATTTATTTATTTATTTATTTATTTATGTCAAACTAGGATTTTATTTTAAATTTACTTCTTCGATTCTATTGTACTCCCTCCGTCCCATAGAAAGATTTCCATTTCCATTTTTAGATGTCCCATATAAAGGTTCTCATTTTTATTTTAGGAAACAATTAACAATCATATATAAATGAAAAATTAATCATTAAATATTAAAAATAATACAATATCACATTTATCAACGCTAACCCCATTAATTATATTATACAAATATAAAAATTATTTATAAAAATATAATCGAACCAGTCTATTTAATGATTGTCTAAATAACTGTGCTAATTAGTTATGAGAACCTTTTAACGGGATGAAGATAGTAATTCTTAAAAGTGTCGAAATTGATCAAAGACTATAGTAATGATAATGAGAAGAAGAATGGTGATGATGAGGATGATGAGGATGATAATTATAATAATGATAATAATCATAATAACAATAATAATGACAATGATAATAATAATAATAATAATAAATATATTTACGTCGTCATTTGATCTTAATTGTATACAGTGGAGTAGCTAGAGGGTGGCCATCCTAGGTCCTGGCCCACCCCAAATTTAAAAAATACTTATATTTTTAGTGTAAAAAATTCTTTGTAATTTTTTCCCCAAAAATATTCTTTGTGTCGACCCGTGACTGGGCTCCGCCCTTTATTGTATATGCATTTAATCGGTGGTTGAATCAATTAGGTACTAAGAGAATCACGCCAAGGTTTTGGCATTGTTGTGTCAAAACATCCCAGAGACACGCTTGCTCCTTATTCCTTACAAGAACCATCCGAGGTACGTTATGATAATGGTTTTATACTACTACCTCCGTCCCAAATTGTTTTGTAAAGTCAACATTTTTTGGTCAACCAATAATAAAAGTCAATCCTCCCTATCGATAATTAACTCAATTTTTAATAATTAAAATTTACATATTCAAAAACTACATTAAAATCTCTTTAAAGTTGCAAACTTCAAATTAGAATATAATTAAAAATTGACATCATAATTAAGAAAATAAAATGAAGCTGTTTGACTAAGAAAAGTCAAATTTGCAAATCAATTCGGGACGGAGGTAGTATTGATAAATTTATACTATTCTAGACTCAAATTCCTATACCTGCTTTAAATTATTAATCACTTAATAAAAATGCTTATAAATCCCCATCCTACACTGGCCCTTTTCAGGTTATGTCCTTTTTGCGCCGGTTGGTAGAATCTCAGAAGAAAACGGGAGGAAGAATATGTTACGCTTTTTTCGGGGGTGAATGTTAAATACAATACTAATTTGGGTTAAACACCCTTTTCAATGTGTAAATAAATACATATAGCATAAGACAACAAGTTGCATCTAGATATATGCAATTTTACTTGACGAAATGTAGCATGTAACATGCATGTACTATTATGACAGAATAAGAAATTAGTAAAACCTAGCTTTCCTTTTTATCTTCCATTGGAAAGCTCGTAGAGAAGGATTGGGTTAACGTAGTCTAATTTCACCAATCTTTCCCATCTATTGTACCCCCCAAAAACAATATTGTACGTTCATGTACTTGATATACATCGATATCACGATATGCATGGCCTGTTACGCAATTCAAGCCGTTTATGTGTAGTGTTTTTCTTTTGAAATTTCTAACTACAACGTTTCTGTTACTATAGTACATTTAACTAGTTTTACCTACCATAGTTCCTATCTAAGCTAACTTTAATTAGTACTACGTATTTTGGAATGTAGTTTTATTTTGTTATTACGTAAATTCTACCGTAGCATCAAGCAACGGCTTAAGCAGAAATTTTTGTGAGTAGTTCAAAGTTTCAAACTTGCAAATAATTGATGAAGCTTAATTCAAACTGCAAAAGCCAATTTATGAGAATTAAGTATTTTGACAGCGTAAGACACTATTATTGTTCAGAGAGTGGATTCCCTTTAGGGTAAGAATATGAAGTATTTATGGACATAACTACGTACACTACCCTAACGAGACATAACCGGTACATTTAATAGGTCTATCACGATGAGACTCTTCTATAGTATCTCATATTATACCTTTATATATGTCCACATATCTTCCGATAAATCCCTAGCTACCACGCTGCCGGATAGCCATGCGTTGAAGATGACTTGCCACGTAAGCTCTAGGGTGAGTCTGAACTCACTAGAATCTCACCTAGGCTCGAGGCCTGTCGATCAGGTCATCCTGGATGTGAGTTCCTTCCGCGGGTCATGTTCTCCTGTTAGACCTAGCTGGCTTTGTTGATCAATTACCCCGATTAAGGGGCTTTGAATTACTAATCTCGTGTAATGGGCTTCGCCTATGATTCATTTTTTGGGCTATTGTCTCAATCTATTTTTGTTTTTATATACTATGTATCTAATATTGGTGTCTTGGTGACATATGAACGATAAAAAAAATTACGAGTTTGATTCGGAGTATATATTTTTGTAATAATCATAGTACAAATAAAATACTTGTAACACTTCAAATTATAGAAGTTTTTAAAAGTGCTAATTTATTTTTTGTTTTTATATATCCAATCCAATATTAGTGTAATGTGAATGAAAAATCCATGAGTTTTGATATTTTTTTTTGTAACGGTCGTAGTACAAATCAAAATATTATAGCACTTTGAAAGCTTAATTAAGTTTTTAAAGTGCTAATTTTTTTTGTTTTCATATATTCAATATTGGGGTTTTCCGTCATTTGCAATGGATCCAAAGATTCAATATGTTTTGGCTTGAGAATATATATGATGAATAAAGAAAAATAGCAAACTAAACTGTCTGCACTTCGTTGTTAGATAGTATAAAGCAACAGTCGATTAATGCAATTTTCGACGCGATTTTCGTCATGGGTCATTCGGAAACAATATTTTTGTGCTTTAATTAATATAGGGCTAGGACTGCACATATCCGACCCTCCCTTACCCCACCGTTAGTGGGAGCCTTTGCGACACTGAGGCAATGGTGATGATGATATTCAATATTGATGGAATATGAAAGATAAATAATTATGAATTTCGATATATGAACACGTACTTATTATTGTCTATATGAATTTTAAGACTGACATTTTTTATTTATGGAATTTTCTTTACTGAAATAGAGTCAGAAAAAATTCCTCAAATATTACTCCTGAAAAAGTGATGGACATAAATGTTATTTGGTCACTTTAAGTGACTATAATTATATTGAAAGTTACTATGGTGTAATTACTATGATGTGAACTTTGAACACATTTATAGTTACTAAAAGTTATTAAGTTACATTTTTGTCCATGCCTTTTGCATTACTAAGTGACAAGTCACTGGTAGATGTTGAGTCACACAGAACTATTTACTAAATATGTCATTTTTTTAAAAACATTTAAGATAAGTCATATTTTTGTCTTTTGAATTTAATTTATGAATATTCATGAGAAAAGGCCAAAAGAAAATGTCAAAACAATAATTTGATAGGGGAAGGCGACAAATAGAAAAGGAATTAAGGAAGAAAAAGAAATTAAAAAGAAAATAAAAAAATAAAATGTTACGTATATGCTAAAGAATACATGATTTACAACATTTCACAGAAATAATTTTTTCAATCATTTATACTCCTTCTGTCCCTAAAAGAAGTTCAATTTCGCTTATCGAAGGTCAACTTAAATATCTCTAAAACTCTTATTTTTTATATCAAAATTTTATAAAATTTGAATTATTTTTTGCAGGCTTTGTAGCGGGTTTAATGTAGTTACTGAATATGTAAATTTTATTTACTAAAAATAATCCGAGTTTTCACAGGGATTATTTAACTTTATCGTAGGACGGAGGGAGCACTTCTTTTTTGAAAAAAAAAACATGGTCAGGAGTGTGAATAATATACTTTGTCGGGTATATAAGCACATTGAAGATGAAGTATCATCGGACAAGAATTTGGTGGGTGGGGAACCTGCGATAGCGTCGAACCTCCTCATCTCTCCCGCAGGGGGGCGGGAATCAGGATGTTGTGCGGGGTCGGCCGGTCAAACGAAGGGAGTGTTTGCAACTGCTTCTGCTTAAAAAAAAGCACTTTTGGAAAAGTAAGGAAAAAGTGATTGGTAGTAAAAGTTGATAGTGTTTGAGAAAAAAGTGATTTTGAAAAGTAAAAGTTGGTAGTGTTTGGTAAAATAAGTGCTTTTTGTGTAATAGAAAAGGGAAAAGCACTTTTCACACGCAAGCCGAGAAAAAGTAAAAATTGGTAGTGTTTGGTAAATAAGTGCTTTTTAAAGCCAAAAGCTGAGAAGTGCTTTTTTTTAAGCAATTGCAAACACTCCCGAAGCAGTTTGAAAGGGTGGGCCCGTCAGTTATATTTATCCATCTATAAAACGTGCCACAAAAACCTCCTCTCTTTCTCATCCATCAACCGATCATCACTAGCTAGCTACCACTTCAATCCATTTTTGCAGGTGATCGATGGCAAGAAAGAACACTATTGTTGAAGGAGCAAGTTCCGGGCGGCGCATTCCCGGCGGCTACGTGAGCACCGACGAGGAGGAGGACTACTTTACTTCGGCGGTGGAAGGCGGAAATGGAGATGAGTCGTCCGCGATCAGGTATTGGTTTGGGAGGATGACGGCTCCGAACCCGGCCGCCGCCATCATCGGCTCTTCTTATTCTTCTCCTTCATCGGAGATGAGCGTCGAATACAGATCCGCTGCTGATGATGATGAGTCCGAGTTGAACTCTTTACTTGCGACGTTGAGAGCTTCATCTCCAACTCATCCTCGCATGACAGCCGTTTCATCTGATGAACGCGCCGGCTGGAGGGTACGTACGTGCGTAATTATTAAAGTATTTGTCTCACAACGAAAAAACATTCAACAACAAAACATTGTATGAGGCTTAAAACTACGTACTCCTCATATGAGATTAACATTCCAGGATGAAAGTATGAAACTCCGGTTTTTCACTACAAAAACAATGATTATGGCACGGACTTGGCTCAGACTTGGCACGGATCTCTAGAACCAATTAGTCAAAATTTATATGGTATTTGGCACGAATACGTTCAATCCGTGTCAAATTACGTGCCAATTTAATTCATTTTGTCACCAACTATTTGACACAGTCCGTGCCAAAATATGTTATGATCCATGTCAAATTAAGTCAAACCATATTACGTACGTGTCAATATCGTTGTTGTTTTCTTGTAGTCATGGGCGGAGCTAGGGGTGAGCCAACCCCTGGCCCACCCCTCAATTTTTTGAGTGGTGCAAATTTTAAAAATAGTGTAAAAAGTTTCGGTCTAAATTTTTTTCCGAAAATATTCTTTGTACCGGCCCAGTGCTCTGACTCCGCCCCTGCTTGTAGTGTTTATATACGAGTACATATGTATATAGCTGCAGGCATGCTTACTTATACGATATATATATGACGGACAGAGACGGCACCCATCAGCTCTGGACATGTTTGATCGGATCATAGAAGATTCCAGGGGTAAGCAAATCGTGATGTTTCTTGACTATGACGGAACCCTCTCGCCCATTGTCGCCGACCCCGATTCCGCTCACATGTCCGCTGCGGTTAGTACATTCTTTATACTCCCTCCGTCCCATAAAATTCTTCCTAGTTTGACTTGGATCGGAGTTTAAGAAAGTGAGAATAAAGTGGAAATGTGTGGTTGTAGTTGTGTAAGAAAAAAGTGAAATGAATGTGAGCCACACAAATAACTAAAAAGGTGAAGTTGGAAGAATTTTCTAGGACGTCCCAAAAAGGAAAGTTGGAAGAATTTTCTGGGACGGAGGGAGTACTTCGTACGAAGTAAATTTTTCTATACAACAACTACTTTATTTATTTGTAACATTTTAATTCTTTTTTTCTTAATTATTGAAAACCTAATTAATTTACAAATCACATTTTCCTTTTATTGGGATTTTATTTGTGGATGAGTAATATTGATTGTGCAGCTTATATTCTTTCCTTTTTTAACCTGAATGAGTCAGATGAGAGCAACGGTGAAAAGTCTTGTCTCACATTTCCCTACAGCCATAGTAAGTGGGAGGAGTATAAACAAGGTATGCAAATAATGACATTTTTTGCAAACAAGGTATTTTTTGCTCAAATTTTTGTGTAGGTTCCTCATCAAGTCTAGTTCATCCATACCAAATTTCAGCCACAAATTCAATCAGAAAGGTCGTCAAATGATTTTTGCAAGTTAATTGGTCCGGAATATCATCATTTGACTGCCTTCTCGAATGAATTTTTAGCTGAAATTTGGTATGGATAAACTAGACTTCATGAAGAACTAACATGCTCAAAAAATTTCAGCAAAAAGTTCCACCGGGAAGGGCCCCAAATAGCGACGGCCGGACGGCGGGTCCTGTCCCTCCGGCTGGACAGGATCAGGCCTCATGTAAATGTAAGTTCTTGTTTTATTAGCACTTAACGCCATTTACCGCAATCCATTTGTAAATGTCTATTGGGCGCAGGTGTATGGCTTTGTTCAGTTGCCAGAATTGTACTATGCAGGAAGTCATGGTATGGACATTATAGGACCATCGAGAGGCCCCCAATTCAAGAAAGTGAGTAACGATCCGAGCATTTTCTCTCCACCAGATAAAATCCATTAAATTGATTTGAATGTAAATTTTATAAGTATTAACTCTTTAGACATGCACGATTAAAGTCAAATTATTGCAATTAATAAAAGAAATATACAATAATTTAATACATAAAACCGGCATACGGGCATGGACGGACCGTAGTAGGGACCCCTTTGAATATAAGTAAATGTAATATTGAGTTTCCCAATTTTTAATTAAATACTTACTGAGGGTAAAAATGAAAGAAATAAAAAAATAGAAACTTGTAGTAATAAAGATACAAATATAAAAATTAACATAGTTTGGCAGACGTAATGTACACCTCATGGATAACTACATGCTTACAAAATGTTATTAAAAAATTCAACATGGAAGTACCTTAAATCAAAGAGTCCTAAAAATTGTACTCCCTACGTCCCTAAATTTTGTTCCATAGTACAAATGACATGTGGATTAAGATTGCGAGTATTGTGTGGTAGAGAGTTGTGCAGAGGAGAGAGATCAGAAATGTGTAAGAATTGTCGTGAATCATAAATTTTTACCAAAAGGGGAAAATGAAAGTTTATTTTTGTACGTCATAAAAGGAAAGTTGGGAGTATTTTTAGGAACACGGGGAATAACTTTTAATTTTAGATCAATGTCTCATGTGGAAATGTGGAATACATATCTATATATATTTGCAGGGTGGTGGCACAAATAATATTCAACACCAGCCGGCGGCCAACTTCATTCCCGTGATACAACAGGTTTACAAGACATTGGTGGAGAAAACTAGTCGCATTCCTGGTGCTAATGTGGAGGATAACAAATTTTGCGTCACCGTCCATTTTAGATGTGTGGAAGATAAGGTAATTAAGCTACGTGCCATTTATGTGTGTAATTAATTATGATGTTTTTAGTTGAATTGTTTTCAGTCTCAGACCAGACTTAAACATACTAGATCAGACAAAACCATATTTTCATAGTTATAAAATACACAGAGATCAGACCAGACGTAAGCAGACCAGTGCAGACCAACAAATTTAAGTCCAAATAAAAACATCCTTAAAAACATCAGACAACCAGTTGATGAGTGGTTGGGCACAAAGGGCAGCCGCATGTACCAATTAATTAACGAGGAATTCACTAAATATAATAGGGAAAACTGTCAAATAGGTCCTCGAACTTTCATAAAAAAGTCAATCAAGTCCTTCTATAAGAGACTCTGTCCGGTCGTCGCGATTTGGGGCGGTTCCCGGTGGAATTTTTTGATGAAATTTTTTGAGCATCTTATTCATCAAGTCTAGTTTACTCATACCAAATTTCAGCTAAAAATTTAATCGGGAGCGCATTCAAATTAATTCGAGAACGCAAAAATGCGCACTTATCTTCAAGAATTAATTTGAATGTGTTCCCTATTGAATTTTTAGCTGAAATTTGGTATGAGTAAACTAGACTTGGTGAATAAGATGCTCAAAAAATTTCATCAAAAAATTCCACCGGGAACTGCCCCAAATCGCGACGGCCGGACAGAACCTCGTATAGAAGGACTTAATTGACCCTTTTATGAAAGTTCGAGGACCTATTTGACAATTTTCCCAATATAATAAGTTCCTCAAATACTCACATGAGAGAATCGGATCAAAACAAACACAAAATGAGAAATTAGAAATACCATCATTTATCACTCCTATTTAATTAGGGAAGTGAAATATATATACTCAGTCCTATTTTTTAAACGTTGTCTATATTTTGATTTCATGGTGAACAATTTTTGTATATTATCCTGCATTGTGAATTAAGTTTAATTTATTCTTTTAGTGAGATTAAATAACTATAATGTTGGAAACACTTATATTTAATGCTCGATATTACTTTTTAAATTTTAATAGTTTCATGTATGTATGGGGGGTGGGGCGGACACAGTATTGGAAGGAGTTAATCGAAATAGTGAGAGAGGTGATGAAAGGACACTCGGGCCTTCGACTAAGCAGCGGTAGGAAAGTGATGGAGATTCGGCCCGTTATTGATTGGGACAAAGGCCAAGCCCTCACCTTCTTGCTTAAATCCTTAGGTCTGTTCTCAGGCCAGGCCATCTGATCTGATACTTTTTATTCAGTACTCTATTATTAGCAGAAGTACTATATATCTCCGTTGTTTTTTAATCGTAACATGTTGAATTTTACACTATTTACATGTTTTACTTTGATTACATTTTACTCTATTATTTTATGAATTTTTTTTAAATATTGTTCAATACTCTATTCACATGTTGTAGTATAATTCATCTCATTAAAAAAATTCAAAATCTGTTTTTAATTTTTTTTCCAATTTACGATCAAAGATGTACACTGGCAAACGTGAAAAACGAATCGTTGTAATTGAAAAAGAACGGAGAAAGTATAATAATTGCGGGCTTATTGCATGTTACTAGCTAGCTAATTATGCATGCATGCAGGTTACGCTCACTCTACTCGTGTATGTCCCATCTATATTGGGGATGATAGAACTGATGAAGATGCTTTCAGGGTGCGTGCTTTCTACCAAGTCCACTTTTCCACCCCTCCCCTACTATTTATTCTCATTAATAATTAAAAACAGTTCCTACCTTCTTTTATCTAACATACAGTACCATTCACTCTTATTTAGTACCGTTCTAAAATTGATTTACAAATTTGACTTTTTTAATCAAACAGTTTCATTTTATCTACTTAATTATGATGTCAATTTTTAATCATATTTTAATTTGGAGTTTGCAACTTTGAAGAGATTTTAATGTAGTTTTTGAATATGTAAATCTTAATTAAGTATATGTGACAGTTATGAAAAACCGCCATAGATTAAGTAAAATAATTTTTTTGAAATACGTGCGGCAGTTTTTATAACAAAACCGCCACAAATTGTTTAATTTATACTACGTATTATTTATGGAAAATTCATAATATAATTGCGGCGGTTGTTACCCTTAAAACCGACGCATTCAATAAAAGTTGATACTTCCAATTTCCAAAGCCGCCGCAAATACATAATTTCCTACTAGTGTAATAATAATAATAATCAATAATAAATATATGTACGTCGTTCTTAATTGTATCTGTATTTATTCATTTAATCGGTGGTTAAATCAATTAGGTGCTAAGAGAATCAGGCCAAGGTTTCGGCATTGTTGTGTCAAAACATCCCAGAGACACGCTTGCTCATTATTCCTTACAAGATCCATATGAGGTACGTTATGATAATGGTTTTATACTAATATACTACTCCGTATTAATAAATTTATACGGAGTACTACTTTAGACTCAAATTCTTATACCTGCTTTAAATTATTAATCTCTTAATAAAAATGCTTATAATTCCTCATCCTATATTGGCCCTTTTCAGGTTATGTCCTTTTTGCGCCGGTTGGTAGAATCTCATCCGAAGAAAACGGGAGGAAGAATGTTTCGTTTTTTTTGGGGGTGAATGTTAAATACAATACAATGAGTATATAAATACATATAGCATAAGACAACAAGTTGCATTTAGATATATGCAATTTTAACTTTACGAAATAGATAGCATGTAACATGCATGCACTATTATAACCATATACGTAGTATATGACAGAATAAAAAAGTAAAGACCTAGCTAGCTTCCCTTTTTATCTTCCAGTGGAAAGCTCGTAGAGAAGGATTGGGTTAACGTGCGTAGTATAATTTCACCAATCTTTCCCGTCTATTTGTACCCCCAAAAACAATATCATGTACTACGTACTTAATATATATTGATATGCATGGCCTGTCACGCAATTCAAGCCGTTTATGTGTAGTATTTTTCATTTTAAATTTCTAACTACAACATTTCTGTTTGCTATAGTTAATGTCAGCACTAAAATATAATTACGGGGCCGGGTATATTAACTAGTTTAATTCCTTTTTACCATAATTCCTGTCTACGCTAACTTTTTTACTATTTCCTTGTGGAATGTAGTTTTATTTGGTTAGTATGCAAACTCTACCGTTAGCATCAAGCAATGGCTTAAGTAGAATTTTTTGTGGGTAGTACAAACTTGCTAATAATTAATGGAGTTTAATTCCAACTGCAAAAGCTAATCTATGATAATTAAGTAATTTGACAGCGTAAGACACTTATTATTCAGAGAGCATATTCTCTTTAGGGTAAGAATATGAAGTATTAATAGAAATAGAGCTATAGTAGCCTAAGGAGACATAATCATTTAATAGGTCTAATAATCATGATGAGACTCTTCTAACGTATCTCATAACTTCGCATTTATTACTCCATTATGTCCACGTCTCTTCCGATAAATACCTATCACTGCCAGATAGCTATGCATTAAAGATGACTTGCCATGTAAGTTATAGGGTGAGCCTGGCCTTACTAGAATCCCGCCTAGGTTTGAGGTCTGTCGATCAAGTCATCTTGGATGTGGGTTCCTTTGGCGGATCATGGTCCCCTATTAGACTCAGTTGGCTTTAATGATCAATTACTCCCGACTAATGGGCTTTGAATTACTAATACCGTGTAATATAATGGGCTTCCCCTGTGATTCATTTTTGCGCTATGGTCGCAGTGCATAGTACCATCACGAGCCCCACTACATTCTAAAATAAGTCGGGTTTAATTTTAGGAGAGTAGCCAATTCTTTTTTGAATTTCTTTCATGAATTGGAGCATCTTATCATTTTGGCATTTAATGTTGGATTGTAACTTTGCGGGCGCAGATTTGACAAACGCCTGAGATTTCACAACTTCCAACCCGCCTTACAAACTTCAGCACTTGAGTGCTTTGGTAGTGGTTCCCTAGCGAGTCATGTGGGCACCACGATCTCATTAAAAAGGCATGTCTCTGTTCAAAGTAAACCTTCTGCCAAATTCACCCTCGCATAGGTCTGTAATCCCAACCGCAAATCCCAAATGATTTAGTGCTTTCACAATTCTTCTTGCGTGATTTTTGCTTCTTTACTTTAGTTCTCATGCCTTCTATAGATTTGTCCCTCTTCGTGCCGTATTTCCCAATGACGAGGGGTATGGTTCTAGAAGTCCCTGAATCCCTGTCGATTCCAATGGTATAGAAATCCATTTTTACCTTCCGACTGACTTCGCCCGTGGGGTTCCCACAGCCACCATCTCGGATTCAGAGTTTGAGAAGGCGGTGCACCTCACTGGCCCCAGTGTCATCCGTCTCAACCTCCAGACTTTATAGGCCTATAGGTTGAGGCCGTTTACAATTGATGTGTATAAAAATAAATGAGCCCCTAACATTAAATTGGTCTGGTCTAATCAGTGTTCTAAAAGGCCCATAAAGGCGTCGCCTAGGCCCAACGCGCGACCATTACACCTTGCTTAGTCAATAAGCGTGATAACAGGCGTGTGGGCCTGCAAAATACAAAAAAATTAACTATAATTTAAAGCCCAAGATCATCTAAAGGTTTCCTCGGGAGAGTAATAGAAGCTCATCGCTCACACTTCGAAATTCGAAGCTGATATCCAATATACGGAGTATATAACATTTCGGAAGGAGGTAGGCTTCCTCTACTTCCGGTGTGGGATAAAGATCTTCCACATGTAAAACTAATCACCAAGCGGGCAAATAGCACCAAGGCCAAAAGATTTTTATACAAAACCAATACTTTTAAGAGTGAGTGCTCTAAACTAAATATAAGAACGTACTGTCATTTTATAAGCACTATAATATTTAGTTTTTTTTTGTTTAAAATATTTAGTTTATTTAGTACTATTGGATAAATGCATAACCTAAGCACTATGATTATATGATCATTGTGATCTACAGAGTATTCATTGTTGCTAACTATTATAAGATCGTTATTTTATTTTCATTATTACAATTATTATATGATCATTATTATGTTATTCTTATTACTATTATTATAAGATCAGTATTATATAATGATTATTACAAATAATTTTATTATAGTTAGTCTTATCATTGAACTTTATTTTGCCAGCTCTTACTCTTTATATACTAGATCACTAGATGCATAAAATAGGTGTGGTTTTTATATTTTAAGGTTTGTTTTGTTGGAAAATGAAATAGAGTTATACTTTGCATGATATTTTAGAATATTACATTTACACATTTACTAACATATCTATAAAATTTAGATGATAATGGTAAAAAAAACTAAAACGCCTTTTCACGCCTCAGTCCTGCCTAAACTAGCTCGCCTAAGCTTCAAAGGCCTAAGGCTCAGGCGTGCCGCCTCATCACGCCTCACGCCTTTTAGAACACTGGGTCTAATTAACTAACCTAATAATAACACAAATACAAATATATTAATCATGATTGGACACCATAAAATATTCTCTAACAACATGCTCACAAAATTTTATCAAAAAAATCGTTTAGAAAGCGCCTCAAATGAAAGCGACCTAAAATTCGAACTTTAAGACCTACCTTACGTAAATACTTTCCTATATATACATGAATGTGTGAAAAATTGAGACAGTATCTCAAGACCATTTTAACAATCTAAAAATTAATGAAATAAAAGTGAAGTCTAATTATCATCAATAAAAAGGGGAAAGGGGAATTCCCCTTCAAATACCAATAGTAGTAACGGGCCGGGTAAAAAGATTTAATTTTTTCTCAAAATGATGCTAAATAAAAAATATTTATGAAATTGAGATCGGATTAAAAATATTGCCCAAATTACTGTTTGAATAAACTCCGGTTAAGGATAGCCGCCAATTCAATTGGCAGCTTAGGCAAAACAACGGACGACTTACCAAGAGCAAGCAAAAGTGAGGAATAATAGTCATGGGTCCCACATCCATAAAATCCCCTATTTTTAAAAAGTATTGTTGATGGAGTATATGGCCCGGGAACCCCCAGCTCACAGACTCCTACTACTCTAGCACAGGCCCAACAGGCCCAAGAAGCACAAGAGGCCCAAAGCACAGCGGCCCAAGCTCAAAGGAGCCCAAGGTGCACCTGGGGTAGCCTTCGGCAACATGGCCGAAGGCTCCAAAACACTTGGCACAGCCAGTTTCGAGCATACAAAGCTACTGGGAGAAAATGGCAGAAATCGGGAAGCCTTCGGCTGCTTCGTGCCTCCGGCATCAGGGAAGCCTTCGGCTGTATAGCACCCTCAGCTACACAGAGCCCTCGGCCGCAGGGGGAGCCTTCGGCTAGCCGCTCAATCATCGAAGATTCCTTTTAGAGACAAGCAACCACCGCATTAAATGCGGCGTCACATCCACCCACCGCATTTAATGCGGTGCACATGCATATGCCGGTGCCACCCCAATTGAGGTGACCCCTCGGCCATTAGATTACTGGCACGTGTACTCTCATCGCATTTATTGCTGCTATAAATAGTGTTGAAGATGGAGTCTTGTTCTGAGTTTCAGAACTGATACCCGACCGGGTCAGATGAAGGACCCGACCGGGTATGTTGAAGCAGAGACCTGGGGACTCTCTGGAATGTGAGACCCGACCGGGTCAGGTGAAGGACCCGACCGGGTCAGGTGAAGGACCCGACCGGGTCAGATGATCAGTGAGCTTCTGTTTTGGAAACCCGACCTGGTTTCTACCGGGTTTGTATTCTGTGAAGGAGACCCGACCGGGTCAAATAAGAGACCCGACCGGGTCAGTCGACGGGATTTTTTCTTACAGGCTTAATTTTGGGCCTGCGGCTCTAATCTCAGTTTAGGTTTTCTTAAACCTATTTAAACGACTCTTATGTACTTGTAAACCTCTTGGGACGCCGATAATAATACATACTCTCTCTCGTTCGCCGTGGACTAGCGTAATGACCCCGATTGCGTGAACCACGTTAATTCTTGTGTTCTTGCTCTTAATTTATCGTTTATCTTTGCCTAATCGTATCAATTGGTATCAGAGCTATGGCTGACGAAGGGAAGGTTAAGATCGATAAATTTGATGGTCAAGATTTCGCTTTCTGGAAGATGCAGATCGAGGATTATCTCTACCAGAAAAAGCTTCATCTACCCTTGTCTGAGAACAAACCAGAGACGATGGCGGAGGCGGAGTGGAACTTGTTGGACCGACAGGCTCTTGGTGTGGTGAGGTTGTCGTTGGCGAAAAACGTTGCTTACAACATCGTCAACGAGAAGACAACGTTTGGACTGCTCAAGGCGTTATCCAACATGTATGAGAAACCCTCAGCGGCCAACAAGGTTTTCTTAATCAGACAGTTGGTGAACACAAGGATGAAGGAAGGTGCATCCGTGACAGATCACATCAACGAGTTTAATTCAATCATATCCAGGTTAGGCTCGGTTGAGATTAAATTCGATGATGAAGTTCAAGCGTTACTTTTGTTATCATCTTTGCCCCATAGTTGGTCCGGTACAGTCACAGCGGTTAGTAGTTCATCTGGAACCACTAAGCTTACCTTTGAAGGTATTCGTGACTTAATCCTTGGTGAGGATATCCGGAGGAGGAGTTCGGGGGATAGCTCCAACAGTTTGTTGAGTACTGAAGATAGGGGCAGAAAATCCACTAGAGGGGGGTAACAAGAAGGGAAGATCGAAGTCGAGAAAGAGAGGGCAATCCAAGAATCGGAAGGACATAAATTGTTGGAATTGCAAAGAGAATGGACACTTCAGAAATCAGTGCCCAAAACCCCCTGCAGACAAAGGCAAGAAGGAGGTGAACGTGGCAGAGTATTATGAAGATGTTCTAATTTGCAGTGTTGAGAATTCAGTTGAGTCCTGGATCATGGATTCAGGTGCGTCGTTTCATGCTTGTCATTGCAGGGATTTGATGAAAAATTTCAGGCCCTACAGCGGAAGAGTTCGTTTGGCGGAT